ACCACTAATGTGTGTGCTCATCTGGTTTGTTGTTGTTGTTGTTATGTGCCGTCGAGTCGCTTGCGACTCATAGCGACCTTATGTACAACAGCCCTAAACCCTGCTCTATCCTGTGCCAATCTCACTGCCTCTGACACTCCCATCCCGATTACCCCAGTCACTGAATCAATCCACCTCATAGAGGGTCTTCCCCTCCTGCGCTGTCCCTCCACCCTGCCCAGCATGATGTCCAAAGTATGTCAGATGGAGCCCCAGAATCCTTGCCTCCAAGGAGCAGCCTGGTTTAACCCTCTCTAGGATGAATCTATTTGTTTTCTTGGCAGTCCATGGTACATTCAGCACTCTTCTCCAGCACCACAGCTCAAAGGTGTCAATTCTCCTTCTATCCTCCCTAGTCATTGTCCAACTCTCTGATGCATAACAAGTGATTGCAAAAACCATGGCCTGTATCAGGTGCACCTTAGTCTCCAGAGAGACACTGTTGCTCCTGAGTACCTTAGAGAGGTCCCTAACAGCAGACTTTCCCATCGCAATATGCTTTTTGATTTCCTGACTGCTGGTGCCAAGAGTGTTGACCGTGGAGCCGAGCAAACTGAAGTTGTGAACAATCTCAATCTCTTCACCATCCATCCTGATGCTACCGATTGGTCCAGTGGTGAGAATTTTTGTCTTCTTGACATTGAGCCTCAGTCCATATTGAAGGTTGCAGTCCTTGACCCTCTGCAGCAAGTGCATGAGGTCCTCCTCAGTTTCAGCAAGCAGGGTTGCTCATCTGGTAGCAAACAATAAATTAACAAAGTTTAAGGGTAGTTCCTTCTTGTTCCCCAAGTCACAGCTAAAGCCAACTTTTAGAAGAGTCTTCTCCAGCCATGTTCCCAAGTGTTTTCTCATCTCTTATTAAATAAATAAATAACCAAACTCAATTCAGAACTGACTTATAGCTAAGTTTGTTTTTGTTGTTTTGTTGTGTATTGTTGAGGTGAGGCCACATCATAGCTGATTCTCTAGTAGTGTTTCAGAAGCAAGAAACTGCCTATCTTTCTCCCAAAGAGCTGCTGGCAGACTCAAACTACTCAAACCTTTGGGTTGACAGTGTAATTACTTACCATTGAGGACTACAGTCTTCAATTTGAATTGAAGCTCAACATAAAGAAGATAAAGATTTTGCCACTGGGTCAACTGGCAGCACCATGACAGATGAAGAAATTGAAATAATTCACAATTTCAGCTTTCAGCTTGCTTGCTTGCACAATCAACATTCTTGGGACTGGCAGTCAGAAAATCAAAAGACCAATTTTATTAAGAAAATCTGTCAGGACCTCTCTGGAATCCTGAAGAGCAATGATGTCAGTCTAGAGACTAAGGTGCACCTGATACAGGCCATGGTCTTCACAATTACTTGCTATGGAACAGAGAGCTAGACAATGACTAAGGATGATAAAAGAATTGATGCCTTTGGGTTGTGGTGCCAGAGAAGAGTACTGAACATACCATGGGCTGCCAAGAGAATAAACAGGTCTCTCCCGGAAACCAAGTTGCTCTTTGGAGGCAAGGATTTTAAAGATCCATCTCACATACTTTGGGCATGTTGCCAGGAGGGACCAGTCCTTGGAGAAGAACATCATGCTTGGAATGGTGGAAGGACAGTGAAGTCAGACCCTGGATGAGGTGGATTGACACTGTAACTGGGGTAATGGGGTTATGTGTGTCAGACACAGTGAGACTGGCTCACGACAGGGCAGGGTTCAGAGATATTGTAGTTGGCTATGAGTCCCAGGCAATTTGACAGTACATAACAACAAGTCACCAGCTCCCAGGTAACTCTGGTGGCCTAGTGGTAAGAAGTTGCACTGCAATCCCAAAGGCATGTTGTTCAAAGCTACTCCATGGGGAAAAAAATGGGCAATCTCCTTCAGTGTGATTTCCTGCCTCTGAAAACCCACTAGAGGGTCAGTTACGAGTCATTTTCCACTAACTGGCACACAACAGCAGGCCATCGCCTGCCTTGAGTTGGCAGTGGAACTTCTTACCACGAGGCCACCAGAACTGACAGCACCCTCAAAGACCTCATTTTATATTCATCGGGATATTGGTTAGGATTTAAACATGTCTTTATGGGGGCCATGAGTCAATCTTTGCACCTAGGAGAATTTATGCAGAGAATAAAATACAAATTTCCTCTGCCAAACAAAAGTGGAAGGAGAGGGCTGAGGAGATAGCCCATCAGAAAACACGAAGAGTGCTTCCTCTAGGTCAAATATTCCAGGAAGAGGGAGCAAGCTGGCTTTGGAAGAGGTCTTGGACTCTCTGGGGCTTTGTTTGGTATTTCTAAGCTTCACACACAGGCTCTTTCCCCAGGAAATGACATTTCTGCCATCCAGTCCAGGACGGTAAACAAACACCACAGGAGACTGGCTGCACTGAGGTTGTGTCCTACTTTTGGAGTGGAAGCAACAGGAAGACGGACGTGGACGCAGGGAAAGTAGGCCCCGAGCGAAAGGGCAGGGTGCACAGAGATTTCATTCCACAGAACGTAGACAGAAAGATTCAATTCAACAGCTGTACTTGCAAATCCAATCAAGACAAACTTGAAGCTCCTGTCAGAGGAACAAGGTGACATCTTTAAAATGATGTTTATTGAATCTGTTTTGATGGTAGACAATATAAGGGTTTTGGCGTGCGAGCTCATTCAGAGCTTAGGGCCCTGATTGCTTCCTGTCATTAAACCTCAGGAGGAAAACTCTTCACATAAATAATGGAAATAAATCTTTGTCTCTTAAAAGGCAGGGGGGGGGGGAATGGTGAAAAACACAAGCCATCATGCTTATAGTAGTCCTGATGGTTAAGATGCCCATAAACCATGAGCAAAAATTTTTATATGTTCAGTCTGACATTATTTACTGCCCAAATATCAGGTGTGTGCACAGAGGTGCAGCTGTAACCTGATTGACATCAGTAGTTAAGTGTGCAGGGTCTGTAGTGACATTCCCATTTGCAACCTAAGAACTTCTATATTTAACTGATGACTGCTATCCTCAGCAGAGGCACATGGGACATGGAAAAGGCATTTAAAAAATATGGAATCAACCTTATAAACAACAACAAAACAACCACACAAACAAGCAAACCAGGAGGATGAATGACTACCTTGCCTGGATCAATAGATACTAGTCTCAGGTACTAAATGTCCTAATCGGGAAAGCAGCCATCAGGTCAAGAAGTCATGCTGCTCCTGACGGATGCCCATTTGCTCCTGCATATTATTGTAGGGCTTTATTCAACACAACATGTGCACAAAGACTTTTGTTACTGTTGTTTTTAATTCTCAGATTTCCCACAGAAATTCCGCTTCCATCATTCTCTCAGCAGGATGAACATAAAACAGATTTTGAAAACAAAATTTCCAAATTTCAAGCCACTGAAAAGCACAACTGTGGTTGTATTCTAGATCTTTCCTCAAAAGAGGAATGCTGTCAAGGAGGCGTCTTCCCCTGCGGGCAGCTTACACTGACCCTCACCCTCACCCTCGGCACCTCCTCCGGATTCAGTGGAAGCCAAGCTGGCTCATCTCCATAGGCTAAAGGGTCCAAGAAGGCGCCAGATGGTCAGGGGAGCCATCTCCTTTTCTGAAGCCATCCTCAGTGGGGCCAATGCAAAAGAAAATACAAAAAGGGGCTAGAGTGTGCAGACCTGGAGGCAAGGGTATGATGTTCAGAGCACAGTGCCCAAGTCTGCTGTCCCAAACAGCATGCTGAGGCCCCATGTTTTAGAAATTCTGGGCACTTTGGTGCATTTCTTTAATCACAGGGCATGACTACCCCTCCAAAAAGTTCCTACTCACATCTCCCCCATCACCCCTCACTGTGTGGAACGAACACCCTCCATTGGCTACAATACTGAGTCATCTCTTTTGCCCAGCAGGACTTTTCCTGCTAATCATCATGCCACAGACACAGCCCTTCCAGATGCCAGTCCAGCTGCTTCTAGACCTCTGTGGTCCAGAGACTCTGCTCTTGCCAGAAACCCCACTTCCACTCTCCTTTCTTGGGGTGACTGCTTTGTGAGCTTGAGGGCAAGCTCTAAATGGGAAATGAACAGTGCAAAATTCTCTGTGCAAATAAAAGCAATTTTTTTAAAATGATACACGTTTTAAAAATTCAAGTCAAACCCAGGAACAGACTAGGTGGTTGGCATCTGGCAGCCCTCACACCCACGATGGGGAAACAGTCAGTTTCTGAAATGAGAGAGGGCTGCAGGCACAGCTGCCCCACCCAAGGTTGGTTTCTTGAGTTTGGGAGGAAGCCTGAGAGGGAGGTGCTGAGCTCCCCATATGAGACAGAGCTTCTCCGTCCTCAGTGCCTCGTGGGCCAAAAGCCAAAGGCCTTTCGTAGGCAGTTTGTTGGCAGCGCCCTCAGCCACCAGGGGACCTCTTTCCCTAGACTTCTAAATCTCAAAAAGGTTGGCAGAGATCAGTCGTGATGGTTAGGGGCTTCAGTCTATGTTCATATAAATATAACATGAAATAGAGTAAAGTCATTCTGCCATCTTTTTTTTTACCCATAAGCCTCTGCTTCATAAGGAATGCAAAGAGGGCTCCAAAAGCATATCCTTAATGTTTCATGGGGGAGCCAGACAACCTGCTATAGTAATGTCGAGGGCAATGGAGGCTACTGCTGGGAGCACTGGACCCATCCACTGTCTGAGAGGAAAACCTCTAGAGATGCGGCTTTGAGTGAGGCCAGTAAGGCTGGATGTCAGAGGGCAAACAGTAGGCAGCTGAGTCTTCTGTGGTGGTGGGTCTCTGTGACTTCAAAGACGTGGTCACTGTCACAAAAAGGAAAAGGTTTATAGCAGGGGATTTCCCGAGGGCTGATCCAGACCAAGCTGGATCCCTTAAAGAAATACGACAGCACTGGCCGACAGAAGAGCCCTTGGTGGTCCCAGGGATGAAGCCCTCCTCCTCATGGCTGCTAAGCAGGACAGTCTGGGGGTAGAGCAGTTCAGCTGAGGGAGGCACAGTTGAGCCCCTCATCCTCCTGGCTGGCCGCTGCCACCCCCTCCAGTTCCTCGGGGCTGTCAGTGATGGTGGGCTCGCTGGAGCACTGCCGGTGGGGAGGGGGAAAGCTGGGGGGCAGGAGCAGACACTTGTCCTCATCGCCGGCCTCCTCTCCTAAGCCCGGATGCATCATGGTGGCCATGGCCAGCAGCTGGATGTCTGAGTGGGCATTGGCCACCGTGTGCCGCCGGACGCTGCCACACTTCTCCAGGTAGGCCTCCCCTTCTTGCTCAGTCAGGGGGGTCAGGGCCATCTCATTCAGGGGCCGGCTGACCATGGTCATCGGGGAAGCATAGTTCAGAAGAGTCATCTTGGGCCGGACCCTGGAATGTCGCCTGCCTACAGGAGAAAAACCAGACGGGGGTGTTACTGGATACTCAGCAACTCAACAATTTCACTCACCTCTTGGCTGGTGGAGTGGAACTGACTCATAGCTGGCTCCTCATTGCATTTCCAAGGCCATAAGTGACTTGGGAGGAGCTGAAATGCAAGCTCACTGCTGTCCAGTCAATTCAGACTCCAGTGACTCCATGTGTTAAAGAACAGAACTGCTCCATATGATCTTCTTGGCTGTCATCTTTAGAGGGAGCTCTGGTGGCTGAGTAGTAAGAAATTGTGCTGTCAACACAAAGGTATGTGGTTTGAATCCACCAAATGCTCCATAGGAGAAAGATGGGCAATTTCCTCCCTTGCAACTTCCTGCCTCTGAAAACTCGCTGCAGGGTCAGCCATGGGTCAGTCCCAATTTGATGGTACAAAACAAAATACAGAAGTTGCTCATCAGGCTTTTCTCCCTCCATGCCACTCGACAGGGTTCTAACTGCCAACTTCTACTTTAGTTTTTAAAAAGCAAACCTGAAAACCCCTTGCCATCAAGTCAATTCTGACTCACAAAGACCCTCTCCTGGCATTCTGAGGCTGTAAATCTTTACAGGAGGATACTGCCAGCCCGTGGATTTGAACCACTGACCTTTTGGTTAGTAGTATAACATGTAACACTCTGCTACCAGTTTGCTTAGTACCTGAGCATAAAGCTAGGGGGCAAAGGAGGTGGCAGCTCCAACTCCTGAATAACTGTAGGTGCAAACAGGAAGAAAAGAGGAGGCAATACTTTTCTTTCTATCTGGACATGATATGATCCTATGTGTATAAAAAAAAACCAACGGAGTCCACAAAAAAAACTTCTGGAGCAAACAGAAGAATTTTTGAGCTGAAAAGTATGAGAGGAACAAACATCAGTTAGGTTTCTATATACCAGTATTGAGAAATCTGAAAGGGAAATGCAAAACCCAATTCAAAATCCCAATTCAAAAACCCAATGTCAAATCCAAGAGGAGTGTGGCTCTCTCTCCTGGCTTAAACCAGACACCTCCTCTGACCACTCTTCCTAAGGTGAGGAAGTTGCCAAAAGACTTTCCTGTGTAGATTGGGTTCAAGAGATGTTTCTGGTTTTTGTCAGCTGATGCTGGAGCTTCAAGAGAGATTTCCCCTGAATTCCCTTTTAACCAGTCCCCGCTGACGGCATGGACACCTGACGGCCTGGCTGGCCTAACTTCTAAAAGAGTATGCAATAATTTGTCTTCACCCATGATTATTTTTCACATATCTCAATTTGTTGTTGTTACATGCAGTTGAGTCTGAACTGTAGCGACTCAATTTAGTAAGTGGGAAAAAAGTCATCTAAATCTGCAAAACATTACTAATGAAATTAATTACATTTTACATCCTTTTATCTGCTTTTAAGAAATACAACAAATGCTGGCGAGGTTGTGGAGAGACTGGAACCCTTATTCACTGTTGGTGGGAGTGTAAAGTGGTGCAACCACTGTGGAAAGCAGTGTGGCGCTTTCGCAAAAAATTGCAAATAGAGATACCATTTGACCCGGCAATTCCATTACTGGGAATATACCCTAGAGAGACCCTGTCTGCCATCCAAGCAGATATATGCACACCCATGTTTATTGTGGCTTTGTTCACAATAGCAAGGAGTTGGAAACAACCTAAGTGCCCATCAACAAACGAATGGATAGAGAAGCTGTGGTATATTCACACAATGGAATACTATGCTGCATTGAAAAATAAGGAACTCATGCAATATCATTAAAAATGGGTGACCCTGAGGACAGTGAAATATCTCAGTCACAAAAGGACAAATACTGTATGGTGCCACTGTTGCAGAATGAGGCTGACATCAGGGTGGGAGTAAGACTGAGAAAAACTGGATAAATCATGTATACTGCATTGAAGCCAATGAGGGAGAGAACAGTTTAAAAGTAATGTATTTTAGGGAATTATGATTATCGTAAGAGTTCGGAATGAGAGTTGTAGAGTGAAGTACACACGGGGTGGGGGGTGTGCGGGGGGATTGTATACCAATGAAGGAGTTTTTCTTTTGCTTTTCAAGGAGAAAAGCGAACTGGGGTTGGGGGTGGGGTGGGCAGGGAGAAAGTGCAACAATGAATGAATGGAAATCCAAAATATCCTGTAAATGTTCATTGAAATTAATTAAAAAAAATACAGAAATGTCTGGGTTCAAATATATGTATACACATTGTTTTATTCTTTGATATGCAGTATGAAAAACAAGCAGGCACAATAAAGACATTAATTTAAAAATTTAAAAAACAAATTAGAAAAGATCCCTAACTGCAGATTTTCCCAGTGCAATGTGTCTCCTTATTTCCTGACACTGGTACCAAGTGTGTTAATTGTGGATCTAAGCAAGATGAAGCTGTTGACTGTTAAAAAAAAAAAAAAAAGAAAAAGCCTTCAGGAGAATGAGATACTGGGGCTAGAGCCGTCATCTTGGGGGGACATCAAGGGGTCAACTGATACAATACAGTCCACAAAGACAATATTCTACCTTCTGGGGGATGAGTAGCCACTGGGGTCCTAAATCCTTATAAGCAACCATCTAAACGGCAATTATTGGTCTCTTCCCGTCTGAAGCAAAGAAGAGGGCAGAAAAGCAAAAACACATGGAAACAATTTGTCCACAAGGCTAATGAACCACATGACCTGCAGTCTCCGTGACCCCGAGACCAGAAGAACTAGAAGGCGCCCAGCTACCACTGCTGACCGTTCTAAGAGGGATCATAGTCAGAGGCCCTGGGCAAAGTAGAGGGGGAAATGTGGAACCAAACCCATAAATGTGGCCCAGTTAACTGGTCTAATGGAGACTGGTGGGCACCCTGAGACTTTGGCCCTGAGATACCCTGCAGGCCTGCAACAGAACTCACCCACATGGCTCAACTTGCAGCCATGCAATACACAGGCCTGGAAGGAGTTCTGACTGTGTAGTTTGTACACTGTTGAACACAAGCCAAAAGGCTCATGGTTCGAATCCACTAGCTACAGTCTTCTCCTGTTGAGATTTACAGCCTCAGAAACCTCACAGAAGTCATAATCTACTTGCTAAAATCTATATAATCTACTGGCTGGAATTGAGGTCTGTTTGTTTTCAGGTAAGCAGAACAACCAGCAATAGAAGATAAAAAGGATCCCCAGTGGCCCCAACATGTTATGAACTATACCCCAAAGAAGGTGCGTCACAGACACGATTTCATTCCCATTTTACAAAGGGAGGCGGGGAGTGAGCACTGTAAAGGAGGCTCTCTTGTTCTACCTATTTTGTGGAAGGGGAACGGGAAGCTGAGATGTGAGACCACGTTACAGTCAGAGCTGGTGAGTCCCAGGACACAAGTCCAGGGCTGGCAGAAGAAACCCCGCGCATGACCACTGGGTGGCCCCCACACCAATGACTGCTGAGAGAGGTCCAGGGTGGCCAATGGGACAAGGGTATAGATGAGTGCTCTGTGGTGACTGAGGGAGAGCCCTTGAGAGTGATGAGGGAAAGAGTGCACCCACCAAGACCTCATTCACTCATAGACTGACAGCTCTAAGCCAGGTCCTTGGATAAATAAGGGAGCAGGGGCAGTGTGACATCGGCTTACAGTGAATGATCTCACCGTCTGTGAGGAAGGCAGACACATGAACAGGCCACAGCTGAACCAAGTGGCAAGTGCCAGGATGTGGTCTGGGGGATGAGGAAGAGGGAGAGACATACACAACCCCCAGTCCAGAGCAATTCCATGAGGCAAGGCTGTCTGTCTCGGGCTAGGACCTGAGAAGAGGTGGTAGGTGTGGCTGGCTCTGGCCTGAAGCAGCCAGCCTTCCCTAAACGAAGGACAGGGCCTCTGTGCACCTCTGGGGCTCAGAGAGGTCAAGGCACTTGCTCCACACTACACAGCAGAACCAGAGAGCCTGTAATTTCACGGGGTCTGCTGTTTCCATGGCAGCTGCTGCCTGCGTTTCTCTCTCCTTCCTGAATATTCACAGTTGATGACTCAGGGGACAGGCCAACAAGCTCTGCCTTCTACTTTCTGGGCTGCATGTTTTAGTTCCCAAGCCTGGGTTTAGGCAGAGCTGAGCCCACAGGGGACTCTAGGACTATGTCAAATCCCCTGGGTTGACAATGTTTCCTCTCTAAGCTCCCACCAGATTCCACAGCCAGCCCGCAGGCAATTGTGTCAGCCTGGTCCCCACTGCGGTCAGCCCCCTTTTGGGCCCCATGGGAAGCCCTGGAGCTTTCAAACCAAGCCAAGTAGTAGGCCTGGGATTAACAGACAGCTCCCCTCCTTCCTTCTTTGTCTCTTATTTGTACTGGGAGGGCCTGTGTCCCTGCCCCCAGAAAAGGAATCTTCTAGTACAGGAGAGCTGGGTGGCTCCCAGGGCCTAAAACCCAACCCTAGTCTGCAGTAGTGCCCAGTTAGCAGGGAGAGGGAGGGGTGAGGCACCTACCTCCAGCCCACCACCTCCTCCTGGCCTTTCTCACGGGTGGGATGATGGGGGGGGGTGGCCTTTATTTCTTCCTCACTTACCAGACGCCCCTCTGCGCGCTGGCATTCATCCTCCTGTGCCTGACCCAAGACACGTCAGCTCCTTTCAAACCCCACAGCCTGGACAGGGGAGGTGCTCGGGTCCTTTGTTAGGACGAGGTTCCCAGGCCTTTGATCTCTCAGGCTCACAGGCCAGGCCCCACCAGAATGGCCACCATAATGCAGCCATTGTGACGGGCACACCAAGCCCACTGTGGGTGCCTGCGCCAGGCTCGGCACCTGAGCGCCATCAATGCCTCCTTGTGGAGGGGGGGTCACACCCGCTACATCGGGCGCTCAGATGCAGAAGGAAGGGGCCCTCCCCTAGACACACAATGGCCGTGTGCGAGGCCAGGGCTTTTGTGTGGGGGAACTCAAGCACACGAAGTGTTCACGCAAGACGGCCCTCCCCTCACCCAGGATCTTAGCTGGGAGCTTTCTGGAACTGGGGATGGGGGGCGGGACTGGGCCTCTGGAGATTCTACCTTTGTTGTTATTATTTTTAAAGATTTCACATTTCTCATCAAGCCCACGTTTGAAATGACCCTAGAAAAGTGATCAATTTCAAGGAGAAGGGGTGTGTGTGTGTGTGTGTGTGTGTGTGTGTGTGTGAACATGGAGGACGCGGATACGAATGCAGAGGCACAGCCAGACACGAGCACTTGTGCACCTATCCACCCACCATGCATTCCAGGCTTCATCTTTTCTCTCTGTAGGAAGTCTCGCATATTTAGTGGGGTGAAGCTTACTTCTCAAACCCTAAAGGCTGGCTGGCAGGAAGGTAGATTTCACAGGAACTCCCAGGGGTCCCACAAGCCTGGACACATGGGTATGGGGATACCCTCAGGAAAACCTCTCCTCTGGAGTCCCTGGGTAGTGCAAACACCTAACACATCTAACTGGTAACAGCAAGGTTAGAGGTTTGAGTCCACTCAGAGGTGCCTTGGAAGAAAAAGTCTACTGAAAAATAAGGAACTCATGCAGTATTATTAAAAATGGGTGACCCTGGAGGACATTATGCCAAGTGAAATATCTCAGTCACAAAAGGACAGACATTGCATAGTGCCACTGTTGTAGAATGGGACTGACATCAGGGTTGCGATAAGAATGAGAAAACCTGGATAAATTATGTATGCTCCATTGAAACAGAAGAGGGAGAGAACAGGTTAAAAGAGATATATGATAGGGTATTACGGTTATCACAAAAGTCCAGAATGAAGGTTGCCTAGTCGAGTGTACTCAGGGCGGGAGAATTGGGGAGGGAGGGGGAGGGAGATTGTGTACCAATGAAGGAATTTTTCTTTTACTTTTCAAAGAGAAGAGCAAACTGGGGGGGAAGAGGTGGGGTGGGCAGGGAGAAAAGTGCAACAATGAATGAATGGAAATCCAAAATCTCTGTAAATATTCATTAAAATTAATAAAAATAAAAAATTTTAAAAAGACAGGCTCTTAGTTAAATCTTAAAAACAAGTATCATTCAATACCCATTGGAGCACAGCCGACTCTGACACACGCGGGTTATCATGAGGCAGAATCAACCCAGTAAAACTTAGCTTTTTATTTGCTTTGCTGTCTCTGGTCACCTGCCTGTGTCTGACCCTTGGGCTTTGTAGCTGAGGTAACAGCATCTAATGTGCAGCAAGGCATGCTAAGCACTCAGTCATTACCTGAAATGTGGCAGGCACACAGGATAAGGGATAGCTTTTGGGGTGCTCATCTCAGCCACCCTTGACCATTCCCACCTCACTAGGCGCTGATTGAATCATGGCAGAACCCTCTCAAACATAGAGGGAATTCTCATATCCAACACATTTCTTGGTTGGTTTGTTGTTTTCTTTCTTTTCCTTCATGCAGTCAGCTCAACACAGCCTACTGTGTGCAGGATAAATGTTACTGCTCCCATTTTGCGGAAGAGAAGATTGAGACCCAGAAAAATCTCTATCTGAGCAGGGATCCTCAGAAGGAGGGGTGCCCCTATGGCCATGCTAGCTTTCACCCCCAGGCTGCCCTGGGACTCTCTGTGGGTTAGAGAACAGAAAGAAAAGGACCATCTCCTCACTGTGGCTCAATGGCGTCACCGCCTCACGGTCGACAGGTAGCTAGTAAGGTGTAAACAGCTTGGAGTTTTGGAATCCTGGCAACGAGATGACTGCAACCCTCATTCACCTCACCTGTAGGGAACAATGGTGCCTACTCTATGCATGCTACTCAGCTCACTCTGCACAGTCCCCAGGCCACGGTCTGTGTCTGGGCACTCCCCCTGCTGCCAGCCACTTTGCACTTGTTCCGGGAACATCCTAAGTTCTTTCAGTTCCTCAAACGTTACACTCTCTTGTTCACCACCCCCCTCTGCACCCAGCCTCCTCACAGGTCTTTCTCTTTGCTTTGGAGAGTGTTCACTGCCCATTTAACCAGAACTTGTATTCATCTTTTCAGATGCCATTACAATTGTCACTTCCTCTGGGAAGCTTTTCCAGGTTTCCAGGCGAAATCTCCCTGCCGTGAGTTCCAGGGCCCTGTCCTCCCCCGACCAGAGCACTGTTTATTATTTCTCCACTGGACTGTGCTCAAGAGGCCAGGGATGGGTCTGTTGCCTTCACTGAAAATCCACAGCACTCCACAGCCTATCTGGACAGATGTGTCTCAGTGGATTTCTGCCGAAATATTAATCATTGAAAAAGAACCAAGAAGGACATTTTCTTCTCTTTCTCTCCCTCCTCAGATGACTCCCAGAGGTAAAGTTTACTCCTGGCCCAAGAATAAAACTCAAGGCCTTTGCTATGTAATTTGACAAAATTGTGTTTTCCTTATTTTAGCTGGAAAGCTGGGGGGGGTGGGTGGTATCTCCTTGGATATGGATTGAGTTCTTGTTGATTACAGCTCACAGTGATACTATAAACAACAGCTAGAACCCTCGTCCTGTGCTGTGCCATCCTCACAATCCCTGCCAAGCTTAAGTCTACTGTTCGGGTCACTGTGTCGGCCTCCTCACTGTCGGGCAGGAGGTGTCTTCCTCTGTTTTCATGACCCTCTACTCTTTCACAGGAGGATCTTTTTCCAAGGACTGGCACCTCTTGATAGCATGCCCAAAAGATGGATTAGAATCCTAATCCTTATACTTTCAATTTAATCTCATATAATAGCAATCAAATGACATCTATGTGAACACAGTATAATCACTTTCTATAAGACAATCAACGTAACATAGCATATCTTCTCTATTACTGTCCTACCAGTGGAAGTGGATCTGAAACCTGACCACTCCTGAGTTACAGATGGAACAGTCTTATGTCCTATGAGGACACCAAGAAATCATGGAATGGCCGGGACTAAGTCCAGGAAGTAAAAGACATGGCTGTGACTGGGACTGGGCTTTTTAGCTTCCGGAAGAGTGAGGCAGTATCTGTTCTTTTAATCCACCCACCTGTGGTATTTATGTCACAGCAGCACTAAGCAACCAATACATGCTCTTAGAATGAGGCCTCACTAAGGAAACTTCCAAACCCACTCTTGCTCTGGCCTTAGGCCCAGACAGTGGTGGAGATGGCCCTGCCATCGTGGTGCAGCAAACGTCTGGTGTTCTGACATCTGCGTGGATTCTAACTCTCCAACACCTAGACTAGCCAATCCAGTCTAGAAAAGCTGGAGAGTGGGTTCTGGGAAGGCTGTGGCAACACCACCATGCCCCCTGAACCATTCAGGCTTGTGAGGGGCGGGAGAAGGTTTCCCCAAAGCTTCTACTTCAACCCGGGTTTGTTCCAGCTCTAGAAAGAGTGAGTATGCGGCAGATGGAGAGAGAGGCGCCCAGCAGGCAGCAGGCCTGGACTGGCAGCTGCACTTTGTGGTGGCTGTGGTGAAACCAGTGACTCCAGAAAAACACGAACAGAGCCACGAAAGCTGCCATCAGAGAGGCCCCAGGAAGGGCAGGAGCCTTGCTGGAGGTGGCCCCTTTCCCCTTTGTATGAGTGAAGGGACAAAAGGTTCCAAATATGAGTAATCCACTTCCGTCTCTGCACCTCTCAGGGCTGCTGAACTCAGGGAAGGCTGCCTGTACCCATCTGCCAAATATCTGAGTGCCTGCTACGTGCCTACTACACGTGGGCACCATGCCAGCTGCTGGGGCTAGAATGACAAGCACAAGATCCCCACCTGAAGGGGGCTTACCTTTGAGAGCACAACAAGAAAGCCTTTCATTATGACAAAGCTTTCTCCCCAGTTTTAGGGATTAAATTGTATTTTCCCTTTAGAAATCCAAGTCCCCAACATTGTTTGGAAATAGGCCCTCTGAAAACATTACCAGGGAAGTTAGCATGAGGCTATGCTATAACAGAAGAAGGTTCTGATAATGTATGAGTGGTGACCTATAATAGAGGAGAAGAGACGTGGTGCCCTATAAGAGGAGAAGAGACAGGGAGACAGGGAAGGTGGCCACGTGAAAACAGAAGCAAAGACGTGAGCTGATGCATCTGTAAGCCAGAGGATGCCAACTGTTTCAGGCCATCACCAGGAGCTAGAAAAGAGGCATGAGCAATATCTCCCTCAGGAACAATCCACTCAGAAGCACCCTGGTAACACAGCGTGCTTTGTGCCAGGTTGCCAAGCAAAAGGTCCGTGGTATGAATCCACCAGCCACTCTCTGGGAGAGCAATGAGGCAAGTCTTCCTCCTGCAGCCTTGGAAACGTAAAGGCAGCTCAGCATGAGCTGGAACTGACTTGAGGGCAGTAAGTTTTGGGGTTCAGCTTCTAAAATTGCAAGGTGATAAATGTCTGTCCTCACAGCCCACCTAAAGGACCAAGCACCAACTCTGCCATGGTGGCTCTGAAGCCAAGACGCCCCTCTGACTGTGATGTCACTGAGAGAAGGAATGGTGGATGTGACTCACTGAGGACAGCTCTACCAGCACTGGGGAAACCCCTGAGATGATGGCTCCCCAAACCAGGACTTCCTTCTCTTCCTGCCAAGGCCCTGGCAGACCCTCCAGAAATAGTAAGGACAGCAGCTGGTGACCACATGGTCACCCAGGGGACCTGCATTGGCCTCCCACCCCATGCTGCTTCACAGTCAAGGTGACTTGTGGTTACAGACTCCAGGCACAAAGAATGACCAGAGGCACTGCTCAGAGCTGCAGGTCAGACAAGCCCCAGCAGAGACGCACAGGGCTGGTCCTGGGGGAGGAATCCCCAAGAGGCAAGAGGCTGCAGGGACATAAGCCAAACCATGTGAGTGGTTATAACGTGTGGATTTGCAAAGATTCACATCAGAAGCAAATGGCTTGCTTGTAACCAGTGCTTAGTGAAACATACACAGCAAGAATCGTTATTATCCGGAAAGCTCACGGCCAACTCTGGAGCAGGGCTCCTTACCCAGTGTGTACGTGAGGCCTGAGAAGCCGCGGTCCTCACTGAGGCCGAGGAACGGAGAGACCACTTGCTTCACCAGCTCCTCCAGCTGCAGGTAGCTCTCACTTGGGCCTGTGGGCTCGTGAACACTCTAGAAAGAAACATCCCAAAAGGGACAAAGGTCAGTCAGACTCTCTATGGCCAACTAGGCAGCTAGTCAGCAAATCTTGATTCTCCTCCTGCTACACAAAGGCGAAGTCTCTGGGTGGTACAAACAGGCAACTCATTTGGTTGCTAACCAATAGGTTGAAAGTTCAAGTCTACTCAGAGGCACCTCGAAAGGCAGGCCTGGCAATCTGTGCCCACGAAACCAGTCACTGAAAACTCTATGGAGTTTCTACCTGATCTAACCTGATCGTTCTATCCTGATACGCATGGGTCACCAAGAGGTGGAAGTGGCAATTGGTTTTCACGTGTTTTGTGTGTGTCTGGCAAAGAAAGGTGGCAGGGCGTGGGTGCTTTCCGTTACACACAGACACAAGGCTTCCTGCAGGACCATCAGCAGGTGACCATCCTCACCTGTGAGGCCGGATCAACTTTCTTCCCAAACACACCTCCCAAAGGAATGACCTTTCACTCAGTATAAATGAGTGTTTCAAAGCCGAGCCCTCTTTTCTGAACCTTCCTCTTAGAACCTCCAAGGGCTTCTTTCAAGACTTGCATTTGAGGTCCAGGCTCTAATTGCCGCCTCTCACACGCAAGCTGCACGCAGTTTTCTGTCCTCCTCCTCCTTCTTCTTCTCCATAAAAACACCTGACCTGGCGTTCCAGCCAAGGACACCCACCCTCATCTACCAGCCTGTGCGTCCTCCTCCCCTTCCTCCTGTAACCACATGAAGTGGGGGAATGTCCAGAAGAATGGCCAAGCTCAGGGAGCCCAAAGAGAAGAGCAACAGCTGGGCGTAGGGGGTGAGCACCCCACGCCCGACATTCCTTTCCCGCTGGAAGGGTGGGAGGGGTCACTACAAGCCTCAGCATATGAGGTTCTGCACTGATGCTGCAACACCATGCTGGAGCTGAGAGTAGAATGAGGGAAGACCAACTCCTGGGATCTCTCTTTTAGGAGAACTGTGCGTCTCGCCCATTGCCGAGGTTGTGTTTATATGACATGACCCTATTCAAGGTCATAGCGGGCCATCTCCCGCAAACGGGACTGGTCTACCAGCAGTTAGGGGGAAAACAGACTGTTCTCTACCATTTACTAAGAGACGCTGGGGAAACGCCCAAACGACCTAGAGTTTCAATTCCTACATCAGTCAAATGTGAATAACTGCAATGACCACCTTATGAGGTGGTAGTCTGGATTATTTTCTTAGTAAAACAATCTACTTGAAGTCCTTGAATTGTGCCTGGCATATGCCCAGGAAGAACTAAACATTAGCTCATATTCCTACTGTTGATTTAGAATGAGGATTAGAGATTCTAGGCAAGTGCCCAAGTCGTCCCTAGGTGGGAAAGGTGCAAACATAAGCTGTAGGCTGGTCCCCTCCATCGAGTGCAAACTAAAGCCTGGAAGGCAATCCTTTAAAGAGAGAAGGACCAGTGGCTTTGCTGCCTGATGAGGTCGTGGTTTTGGTCAGTCTCTCATGAATCCCGTCTGCCGTTCCAGTGGTCTCCTGGCCCACTTCGGGTTAGACCAAAGTGGGCACTCGGCAGTTCCTTGCGGCTGACTCCTCCCCGACATAACCAGAGAGGAGAAGGGTGTTCACTTCCTGAATGACAGGTCCACGCTTCTTTCACATCCCCACTGTGATCTCAGCACTCTGCCCGGGCCCTGCAGGGGGCTCAAGGTTGGAAATAAACCAAGGAATACACACTGAGACACTAAAGAAGGTTAAACTAAGCAAAAATGGTTTCCAGCAAGCTGATCATTGGTCCCTTTCCTTCGTCCTGCAGTGGGGGTCCCCTTCCCTCTCTTGGTCTAGATACATGAAGCCACACAAACCCCTCTCCCTCCCCCAAGGCCTCACCTGCAGGATAAGCAGCATCTGGACAATGGACGGGGGTAGCTTGGACTGGGCCAACGGCAGCAGGTCACCCAGTTTCACCTTCAGCAGCACCAGGTCTCGGAACCCCAGCAGGGAGATCTGGCGGATGGTCAGCTCCTGGCCCTGAGGGGGGAGAGGGCGAGGCCGTGAGAGCTTACTGCATCTGCCACAAAGCCCATGAGATTCAGGCCAGGGAATGACCCCAGAGGATCCAGCGTAAGGCCTGTGAGGGTCCAGTGGGGATGACAGAGGAGACTCAGGCCTTGTCCTCTGGGAAGTAAAGCTTTTCTAAAGATCATGTATGACTTAGCACACTTCACTGGCCAAAAGATGATACAAGGCACATGCAAGAGGGGTGATATCATCAGAGCTGTTCTGCTAACCCAAACTCTGACAGTCTGAATGTACCAGCAGCTCCAAAGCAGATAGATGGGTAGTCTCAGCCTATCTTTGACTTACAGCCTTGGAAACCCCATGGAGGGTCACTATGAGTTAGAATCAAAACAACCAGCAGGGAGAATGAGTAAAAGAGAATGATATAATAACTGCTGGGTGCTTAGGAAGGAGAAAGAGAGAGGAAATGGGGAAGACAGAGGGGGGATGACCACCAGTGCCCCATAGCCAAGGTGCTCTGTCCACTTCATTCATCAACTATTTGAGCCCCTATCTCACACCAGACAACAGAGGAAAACGTTACACCTGCTATATGCTGAGAAAGTAGAAGAAAAGGAATGGATTCCACTGTCAGGGAGGGAAAGGAGGATGAAAATAATAAAACCTTGACAATTATCAAGCTCTGACCATGAGCCAGGAATGTTTCTAAATTTTTGAGACAGAAAAACACATTCATTTCAACAACCATTCTTTAATATAGGTACCCAAGTAACACAGGTATGAAGTCTGTGAGCTCTGGTGGCATAGTAGTAAGAATCTGTGCTGCAATCTCAAAGGCACGTAGTTCAAATCCACCAGCTGCTCCACAGGAGAAGGATGGGCAATCTCTTCCCTGATTGTGGTTTACTGCCTCTGAAAACCTGCTGGTGGGACAGCTATGGGTCTTTTCTGACTCGATGGCATACAATAACAACAACATTAAAAAACTAATTATGAGGCACAGAGATATTGTAGTAATTTACCAAACGGAGTGGGCTTCCAAACCCAAATTATATGTTTCAAGAGCTTCTAAAGCATCACAAGAAAGAAAGGGAAAGGTGGGCTCATTCCCAGATGATCTTGCACGCACGTGTACACGTGAGTGTGAACACACACACACAGACACACACAGACACAGACACACATCACACGAAGGAGCACTGGTGGCACAATAATTAAACACTCAGCTACTAATCAACTGAGGCTCAACTTCACCTGCCACTCTAGAAGAATGATACGGCAGTCAGCTTCTAAAAATATTTACAGCCTTGGCAACATTATGAGACAGCTTAACTCTGTCCTAGAGGAATGTTATGAATCAAAATTGACACAAGAGCAACAGGTTTAGTTTTGGTTTTATACAGCACGTAAGAAAAATCAGTTGCTCTTGATGGGACCAAAGATATCATCGGGGTACTCTCCCGAAAACTTAGCTTCTTATTCCCCAAGTGTGCCAAAGTTTAAGGGAGCCAATTCCTATAACTCCTTTTTGTCAGGCAGGTGCTGTGAAAGGAACCAATGCAGTGTGCGGATGGGCAAGTCTGACTCTTGCCTGATTCATAAAAGGGAACTCTCCCCATCAATAATACCCACAGTCCCAAACAAATGGCTGCTTGGTCAGACATGCCACCCACATGCTTCTGGCACCCATTTCTAGGAATCATTGGGTCTTTTAGTTCGTTGTTGACTCAAGACTTTACTCACAGCTGTGGGGTTTATTAGGGAAATAGGTTGGCGAATGAGGAAGGCAAAAAATGTTACACAATGCAAATCCAGTTTTAGTCCAGCAATCTTAAATCAGATGAACAAGGCACAATTCCTCAGCTAATGACAGTCTAGGTTTAGTTCAGTAGCACAGGTGCAAGAAGTCTCTGGTTTCTTCAAGCATCCAGCAAACTTAATATCAGAACAGTTATAAGTCAACTTCTCCTTCAATCGTCTGGCAAACTAAACCTTTAACTGCAGCATAAATGCAGGGTTCCTCTAGTCACACTTTGCCACAGTCTATTCACACACCTTCTCTCCACCATCTTCACCAGGGTATCTCACAGTGTGGAAAGCTCTCTCTCTTATACTGGTCCCACAGCTGTTGATGATTTTCAAGACCATGTGTCCACGGTTAAGGTAGCTGGAGACCATACTTCTCCTGCCCCCCATTACAGGGGATTACATAATGGCCGGGAAAGCCAATTTTTAGGGTTTCTGACACCACAGGTGCCATCAATTTGACTTTAACTCACAGCAGCCATATGAATAACAGATCAAAACCTTGCCTTATCTATCCTCACAATCTCCACTGTTGCAGTCCTTGTGTAGATTCATCTCGACTCGATGGTAGCTAACAAGAAGCATTATGAGTCAGCAGTAAAGAGGAAGGCTGTCAGCGAGGTGGGATTGGCACAGTGGCAGCAACTCTGGGCCAAAATATGTCAACAACTGTGCAAATGATGCAAGATCAAGCAGTGCTTCCTTCTGCCATAGCCAAGTCACTATAAGCCAGAACTGACTTGATGCGTACAACTATCTTTACAGGAGCAGATCACCAGGTATCTCCTTTCATGTCCCTCCTTTCATGGAGCTGCTGCTGTGTGCTGATGAGAACTGCTGATTCTACAGTTAACAGTCAAGTATCAACTGCTACCCCACAATGAGCTCACTTTGAAAACAACTACTGTTGTTAGGTGTCATCAAATTGAGTATTAAAGCAAAGCAACCGTATGAACTAGAGATATGAACCCTGTCCTGTATCCTGTGCCATCCTCATCATTTCTGACATACTTCAGCCCACTGCTGCAGACATCTTGTCATTCCATCTCATTTAGGGTCTTCCTCTCTTTTGTCGAACCTTCCAAGGAATAGCTCCTTTTAACAACATGCTCAAATTATGTGAGATGAAGCTTCCTCAACTTTGCCTCCAAGGAGCACTCTGGCTGCACTTTCTCCAAGACATACCTGTTTGTTATTTTGGCATTCCATGGGATATTCAGTACTCTTCTCCAACACCACAATGCAAAGACATTGAGTCTTCTGTCACCTTTATTCACTGTCCAGGTCTTGGATACATAGCAAATTATTTTTAAGGCCAATAGGAGTGGCAGTCACTTCCTAAACAACATGCCTCTGGAAACTCTGTGAACTTTGATAAATGTCGATAGTTGTAGAGGGGCTTCAGGCCTTTTGTCCATAGGGTCGCTATGAGTTGTGCTCGACTTGAAGGCAATCAACAACAAGAAGCACTTAAAGACAGGTTTGTCAAACGAGAAAGCAGTTCTCATGCAGATGTATAAATTCAGGGGTGTTGTGAAGACTTAACTAATGAAAACTTAAAAATATGGTTTTGTCAGTAAGGTGAGCACAAAACTTAATGGTTCTCAAAGTGGGGTCCCTGTGGCACCAGCGGCAATAACATCATCTGGGGAAATGTATGATGAACCACAGAAATTCTCAGTCCCACTCCACGTCCATTAACTCAGACACCTGGGAGCAAGACTAATAGCCAGCCTTCCAGGTAATTCTGATCCACTGCCCCGTTTACCTGGCCACTACGACCAATCAACACGCTCAAAGGGCCGCAGGCTGAAATCATTCCAGACTTGGATGGAAATTCTTTCTGGGAAGAGCTACACACCACTTTCCCTAACCACCCTCGTGGGAGACCAGATGCTATCGCAGAACTACACAGCGGGAACCTGCTGACTGGAGACCACCTGGCACCATGCAGGAGTCACTGTGCAGAAACCTTCTTAACAAATAATATCCTGACTAACGGGTAGAGAGCTTGTCACACTGTACGTGTTGTATTCAATAAATAATGCTATGGGGTGAAATGCATTTGTTCCCTCCAAGAGCTTCCTGAGCTTGTCCTTGTTACAGAAGTAATCCATTCTTATATTACTATATATTGTAACCCACTAGAATCTGATATTTTGAGACAACCAAAATCATGCTTTATATTTGTATCCTGCATTGGAATAGATGAAGGAGAGAACTGTTTAAAAAGAGTCCAGAATGAAGGCTGCACAGTGGAATGGACTTGGGGGTAGGGATTGTATAGCAATGAAAGAATTTTTCTTTTACTTTTCAAAGAGAAGAGTTAATTAAGGGGGAGGGGGTGGACAGGGAGAAAAGTGCAACAATGAATGATTGGAAACCCGAAGTCTCTGTAAACATTCATTAAAATTAGTAAAAAAAAAAATACAAAATAAAAAACAACCCTAAAAAAAAACAAACCCCGAAACCCCCCACACTTGCTACTGACTAATGCTGCTGATTCAATCCCTTGTGTTACGGAATACAACTGAACTGCAGGATTTTCCTAGCAAAACTTTGCAAAAAAGGACTCATAATGGCAAAGTGCATTACAATGCTGATTGAAAGGTTACCAGTTGGAATTTACCAGCCATTCCACAGGTGAAAGATAAATAGTCTCCTGGAAGAAATACACAGATTCAGAAACCACTATGGATCAGAATCGACTCAAGAGTAGTGGCATATTTTTTCTTTTTTGTGAGGTGGGTCTTTACAGAAGTAGTTCACCAGGGCTTTTCTTCCACACCACCAATGAATGATGCAAACTGCCAACTTTTAGGCGAGTAATATCAGCCTAAATCATTTGTACTAGCCTCCCAGAGATTCCTGGAAGCTGGCAGGTCATACTATATGCTCAGTTGCCAATGGAAATGTTGGCAGTTCAAATCCACCAGCCCCTTCATGGGATAAAGAGAAGACAGCTTCCTCCTGTCAAGATTTCCAGCCTCAAAAATCCAACAGAGGGTCGCCATGAGCTGGAATCGACTCGACTGTAGTGGGCTTGCTTTGGGTTGGTTAATGAACAGAAGTATAGCGATGTAAAAATAGGAAGGTTTCTGGTAAATAGGTTTTTATTTAAACCACAGGAGGTGAGGAGAGTGTGAAGAAGGAAGAGTGAAGAGGTAAAAATACAGAAACTTCTCCTGAAGAACAATTTTGGT